GTTCCCATACTTGTGTGTGTATTACAAGGATTGCAAGCCTACTACTTCTGAGTCTCTGATTCAGTAGGTCTGGGCTGGAGTCTGAGAATTTGCTAACAAGTGATCAGGTTATGCTGATGCTGTTGGTCCAAGGACCATACTTTGGGTGCAATAATGGAAGGGGATAGTCGTGTGGTAGAGAGTTGGTTTAATCGGAATGGTGTATGTCTGATGACGCATTTGTTGTCCATTTGGCTGCATGAATGGTTAATTCTTGCTGGATATTCCTGTGTTGAACGAGTTCTAGTTAATTGAGATTTTCTAGTCTTGGAGAATTGATTTCTTCTGTACATGCTTATATGCATGGGGCAAGTAGGTTAATGTACGATTAAGCATATATGTCTTATGTAAAATTATGCATATATAGTACTAATACATATTCATGGGGAGAGGCGTTAAACTATTCCCTGCACACAGACTTAACCATTTTTATATAATATATCAGTATTAATAAAATCTTACATAACCCTATGTACATCGTGCATTTAATGCCTCTCCCCATGAATATGTATTAGTACTTATATGCATAATTTTACATAAGACATATATGCTTAATCGTACATTAACCTACTTGCCCCATGCATATAAGCATGTACAGAAGAAATCAATTCTCCAAGACTAGAAAATCTCAATTAACTAGAACTTGTTCAACACAGGAATATCCAGCATCTCAATGCATCTCAATGCATCTTTTTATCCTTTTTTCTAATTTCTCACCCCTTCAAGTAGGTTTTTTGTAGATTATTATAAGCATATCCTTTGGCTTGGTTGAAGGGGAAAAAAAGCACATTGTCTTCTAATTTATAGTGGTGGCCACATTCAAATGGCTTGTCAATATCTAATTTCAGAGAACATATCTTTTTTATTGCTTGTTTAGGTTTTTGACTTTGATTTTTAGGTAGCTCTGTTTTCTTTTCTCTCTCTCTCTTTTTTTAAAGACAGTGCCTCACTTTTGCCCAGGCTGGAGTACAGTGGCATGATCATGGTTCACCGCAGCCTCAGATTCCTGGGTTCAAGTGATCCTCCTGCTGCAACCTCCCAAGTAGCTGGGACTACAGGTGCATGCCACCATGCCCAGCTAATTTTTGTATTTTTTGTAGAGGTGAAATCTTGCTTTCTTGTCTGGGTTGATCTTGAACTCCTGGCCTCAAGTGATCCTCCTGTCTCAGACTCCCAAAGTGCTGGGATTACAAGTGTGAGCCACTGTGCCTGGTTTAAAAAAGTATTTTTGTATACACAACATGTTTATATGGTTCAAAAGTTAAAATGGCACAAGGCACGTTTTAAGTGTAATTTCTAATTCTCTGTCTTGGTCTCCCCTACAGATAACCTCTTTGATTTCTTTCCTGTAGATGACCATTGTTTATGTAGATAAAAGCAAATACCATCCGGGCTTGGTGGCTCAGCTTGTAATCCCGCGCCTTTGGGAGGCTGAGGTGAGTGGATTGCCTGAGCCCACGGGTTCGAGACCCGCCTGGGCAGCGAGACCTCATCTCTACAATAAATCAAAAAATCAGCTGGGCGTGGTAGCGCATGCCTGTAATTCCGGCTACTCGGAAGGCTGAGGCGGAAGGATCGCCGGAGCCCAGCAGGTCGAGGCTGCGGTGGCCGGGAGCAGTCGCTGCACTCCAGTCTGGGCGACAGAGTGACATTCCAACTCAAAAAAAAAAAAAAAGAAGCAAATACCAATAAACTATATATATACCCTCTTTGTATATAAAATGTACATGCTTACTGTGTAAATTATTATGCCCCTTGCTTTCGTTTTTTTTTAGTTAATATTCTCTTGAGATATTTCCATATTAGAATACAGAAAACATTGTAGTTATAATGTACATTACTTTAATTATAAATGAGGTTGAGCATCTTCATTTGCTTAAAGGCTTTTTGCATTTCTTTTTCTATGAACTATCTGTGCTTTTGCAGATTTCTTTTGGATTGTTTTTTCTTATCAGTTTTGTTTTTTTTTTTTTTTTTTTG